GGAGGAGGTGTGTGAGGTCCTGGAGGAGGTGTGTGAGGTCCTTGAGGAGGTGTGTGAGGTCCTGGAGGAGGTGTGTGAGCCTGGAGGAGGTGTGTGAGGTCCTTGAGGAGGTCCTTGAGGAGGTTTTGGAGCCGTTACCTCCACACAGCTGTAACAGAACATTAATGGAGTGAAAGGAGCAGATGATCTGTGAGTCTGAAAATCCTCCAGTGTCCTTGAAGAGAAACTGATTAATGACCAACACACACAACCGCAGGAGTGTGTGTGTGTGTGTGTGTGTGTGTGTGTGTGTGTGTGTGTGTGTGTGTGTGTGTGTGTGTGGGAGATGCCTGTCAAATCTTCTTCTTTGGTGTTGTCTTGATGCTGCAGTGTGATTGGTTACTGAGTCAGTGGGCCTGAACGCCTTGAAAACAAAACACCATTTATCTAAATACACACACACACACACACACACACACTCATATCCACTGTAGAGTCTTACAGAAACCTTTTGAAGAGCGGATCAGATCCAGGTTTAATTTCCCTTGATCTTATTTTCCAGATCTCGTTAATTCGTCTTTAATTAGTTTTTATTTATTTTAATTTAAAACATAAACTCGTGATTTCAGAAACATGAATCATTTGTTTTCCTCAGTCAGAACGAGAATGAGACGTTAAGGGTTCACAGTTCACTGAGGAGGCTCTCAGAGGACTTCAGTCTGATTGAAGGGTCCCTGAGGGATGTTCTAGGTTCCACGGGTTCTTGATTCTGTTCTTGAGGACGGTTGAAGAGTCCTTCAGAAGTCCAGGTTAAGGAGGTTTTAATTGTCAGTGGTGTGACTGTAGAGGAGAGTTGGAGGAGGTTCTGGTGGACCATGAGGAGGTTCTGGTCTATGAGGAGGTTCTGGTCTATGAGGAGGTTCTGGTGGACCATAACTACGGGTTGACTGATATGTTTTATTCATTCATTAGTAATTAAAGAGTGATGTGATGTGATGTGATGTGATGAAGCCAATCAGACTGGGAGAAACCACTGTCAGTTAGTCTGTTACCGTGGAGACGACATTCGTCATGTGTTTGATAGATACAGTGATGTTTATGTTTCTGTCTGTAGATCTGGTCCACCTCACCTGTCAGTCAGTTGGCTCCGCCTTCGAGGACCTGTCACCGGTGGTAACCAGGATGTTCCACACGCCAGAGTCACATGACCAAGGTAACACACACACACAGTCACTAGCCTATAAACTTTCTCTCCTCTCTGACCTCCTCCTCCTCCTCCTCCTCCTCCTCTTCTTCTTTGTCTTTAATTCATTCATCACTTTCTTCTGTGGTTTTAATTATAACAGGAACAACCTCCAGGAACACACACACACACACACACACACACACTCTCTCTCTCTCTCAGGATGGATGGATGCAGGTATAGAGATTCATCACAGGTGAGGGAGGAGGAGAGAAGCTTCAGGTTTGTGTGAAAGTGTGAAACTGCAGCTTCAACGTTCAGACTCTGATCAACCCGCAGCTGATTTTTCATTTAATCAGTTCATCTGATTAATCATTCATCAATTCATCATTTATCTAAAAAATGGAACAACCGTGAAAATAATGTCCCTCAGTCTCCAGAGGGAAAGTGACGTCTTCATTATAAACATGAGGTGGTCAGAATATTAGGAACGCCTCCTGGTCTTTGTGACACAGTGAACATGAGTGAAGGTAGAGTTAGGGTTCTGGATCACGTCTGGACCACATCCGGACTACGTCTGGACCACATCTGGACCACATCTGGATCACATCTGGACCACATCTGGACCACGTCTGGACCACATCTGGAATACATCTGGACAATGTGTGAATATGAGGACCTAGTTGAAAACAGTTGAACGCTGTAAACAACTAAAGCTGCTAGAAAACTAGCTAAATGTTTCCAGATGACATCATGAACTAATTAGCATATTGATGATGTCATCATGTCATATTATCATCCTGCGCAGAGTCACACACTCAGTTAGCAGCTGCCTGTGAATAGAAACTGTTTATACCAGTTCTTTATGAAAGAACAACGGTCAGAGGAGAAACACCGACACTCAACCGACCAATGGCATCACGTCATCAGTGCGTCGACCGCAGGCGGCCATGTTTAAAGAACAAACACTCAGGTTCAGTCAGATTCAGGTGGAAACTATGGTTGTGTCTGACATGAAGTCACTTCTTCTACATCCCTCAGAGAGCTGTGTGTGTGTGTGTGTGTGTGTGTGTGTGTGTGTGTGTGTGTGTGTGTGTGTGTGGACCCCTGAGTGTTTGTATGTTAATCTGACATTTTATCACTGACTGACATTTAAGGCTCCAGTCTGTTCGTCCAACAGCTTCACATGTACTATAACAACAAAATATAAGTGACAATCACCATCATCATCATCACCATCATCATCATCACCATCATCATCATCACCATCATCATCATCACCATCATCATCATCACCATCATCTTCATCACCATCACCATCACCATCATCATCATCATCATCATCATCATCATCATCATCTGCTCCTGAGAAGAAACCAGGTTCAGCAGCAGAGAAACATTAATCTCATGTTCGGCTGATGAATTTACCTTGAACAGAAACAGATTTTGAATCTTCCTCTGGAAAAATCATCCGTCTCATTTTAAACTTTTTATATACAGTACATCTGTTTTTGACCTTTATTTTTATGAAGCATTTGTTGGTTCTTGAAAAGTAGATTTCCGTAAATTTCATTCTCTTTCGAAGTATATATATATATATATATATATACACATATATATATATATATATATATATATACATATATATTAGTTTTATTTTTGTGTTTTGTCCATATTTAATCTGTATCACGTCTCTTTGGATCTCAGATGAGATTCGACAACACGTCCAACAAACCGGTGTTTGTATAATAAGCTGGTCCTTACAGTTTGCTGCTCCTCCTCCTCTAATTGACATTTGAGTAACAACCTGTTTGACATTTTACACTCGACACCTCCCTCCTTCCTTTCTTTTTGTCTCTTCCTGTCTTCTTAAAGGGTAGCTCAGTCCTCAGGTGGCGGTGTGTTAAATTAACCATTAAACTGTGTTTCTGTCCTTAGAGAAGTGTCCATCTGTCCTCTGGTGTCTTTACTTCAACATGGCCGATGGATCCGAGGCTGAGGTCGAAGGTCACGACCTCCCATCTAACATGTACCTGTGCTCTGGACCGGACGGAGGTCTGGGACACGACCACGCCATCAGACAGGTCAGACTCACACACACCTGACTGAAACTCTGCTCTGACTGTTGATTGGCTGCTTGTTGCCATGGTTACACAGAATGGTAGACACAGGTAAACACAACAAAACAGATCCAACTGTAATTCATGTCAAATATTTAATATAAGAAACAAATGATGATGTGTCCCATGAATGTCCACCATCTTATTTTAGCATGTTAGCATGCTAACATTAGCTAATATACTAGATACAAAGATACATGAAACATCATCATTATAATGATAATTATTATTATTATTGTTTATATTTATATTTATATATATTATAAAAGCTGAAATTGAGTGATTCCGGGTTCAGGTCCTTTTACGCTCGACAACAGGAAGCAGCTCAGAGCAGCAGGTGTCACGTTTCAGTAAGTCGAGTAAAGTCACTTGAGCTGTTTGATTCTGTTTAAAGAAGTTGATCATCACTAAACCTTCACTGTTTCAAACTTCTGCCATTTGTTCCCTACATCAGATTCTGATGAAACGTGGGTTTGTGTTCAGGCATCTTGGGTCATGAGCAGGTGTATGACAGGCCACGCCCACTTGCATTACCATGGCTGTTCAGATTTTGGTTGAATTGTAAAGTGCCGTGAGATAATGTGAACAGTCATTTCAACAGGATTCAACCTGAAGACTTCAAATTATTGTTTTTATCTTATTATATATACTGAGACTGATTCCACCACACAGAAAATAATAGATAAACTGTATGTGTAATGTAGTTACTATTAATTCAATTCTAACACTTCTCTCAACAAACCTCAGAAAAAAACAAATAATAAGATAATCATTAAAAATCACACTGTCTGATATCAATACTGGATTATTGATCTGCAGCTGATCACACTGACTCTTTCTATCTGTCTCTGCTCAGGCAGAGCTGATCTTTCAGAAGATTCTCCCAGAGGACGATTTCTGTCCTCCTGCTCCAAACCCTGAGGACATCATCTACGACGGAGAGAACACCTCCCCCTCCGCAGGGGAGGAGGAGAGGGGAGGGACGGAGGAGAGACAGGAAGGCGAAGAGGAAGAGGAGGAGGAGGAGGAGGAGAAGCAGAACCTTCAGACTGAGGAATAACGTGGAATAAATCATTTATCTACAAACACACAACCCTTCCATAGAAGCCAAAACCTCCTGCAGTGCATTGTGGGTTAAAGTTGCCTTCATTTGTTTTTATTATTTTTCTATGATTTGTTATTTTTCTGCTTCCTGTCTTATTTAAATACTGTAACTAACAAACTCATTAAAACTGGAACAAACCCCTGAGTTCATACTGTTTATTCATCCATAAGATTCACAAGACGACTTACGATGACTTTTAATGCCTTACAATACTATGACATTTTAATGACGTTTCACGCCTTAATATACCATGAATTTTATATCTGACTGTACTATGATGTTCCATGCCTATACTATAACTTTTTTCTGACTTTTAATGACTTCCTTTACAATGAGGTTTTCATGACTTTTTAGGCCTCATTATACTATGACTTTTTATGATGTTTCACACCTTAATATACGAGGACTTTTCAGGACTTGTTAATGACTTTTTGTGCGTCACTATACCGACTTTTTATGTCTAACTATAGTATGACGTTTTCATGATGTTTTGTGCCTTAATATACTATAATTTTTTATGTCTTACTATTCTATGACATTTTCATGACTATTTATGCCTTATTATGCTCTAACTTTTTTTGACTTTATACCTGACTATACTATTACATTTCATGCCTTACTATACTATGAGGTTTTTATGAGTTTTTGTGCCTTACTGTAATATAATTTTTTTATGCCTCATTATACTATGACTTTTGGACTTACAATACTATGACATTTTAATGACGTTTCACACCTTAATATACTATGAATTTTATATCTGACTATACTATTACATTTTATTTTATTTTACTATACTGACTTTTCATGACTTTTTATGCCTCATTATACTATGACTTTTTTGGACTTAAGATACTATGACATTTTTATGATGTTTCACACCTTAATATACGAGGACTTTTTAGGACTTTTTAATAACTTTTTATGCCTTAGTATAATATGACTTTTTGTGCGTCACTATACTATGACTTGTTAATGACTTTTTATGTCTAACTATAGTATGACGTTTTCATGATGTTTTGTGCCTTAATATACTATAATTTTTTATGTCTTACTATTCTATGACATTTTCATGACTATTTATGCCTTATTATGCTCTAACTTTTTTTGACTTTTTATACCTGACTATACTATTACATTTTATGCCTTACTATACTATGACTTTTTTGGACTTACAATACTATGACATTTTTATGATGTTTCACGCCTTAATATACGAGGACTTTTTAGGACTTTTTAATAACTTTTTATGCCTTAGTATGATATGACTTTTTGTGCGTCACTTTTCTATGACTTTTTCATGGTTTCATGCCTTATTATACTGTGACTTTTTATGCCTGACTATACTATGACTGTTTTTGCCTCCCTATACTATTATGTTTTCATGACTTTTTATGCCTCATTATACTATGACTTTTTATGACTTACAATACTATGACATTTTATGCTTTACTATAGTATCTTTTTATGACATTTTAAGCTTTACAATGAGTTTTTATGCCTTACTGTACTATAATTTTTTATGACATTTTATGTCTTACTATACTATGACTTTTCATGCCTTACTATACTATGAGGTTTTTACGAGTTTTTGTGCCTTACTGTAATATAATTTTTTTATGCCTAATTATACTATGACTTTTTATGACTTTTTATGTCATTTGAAGTCATAGTATAGTAAAGCATAAAAATTAAATAAAAAGTCATGGTATAGTAACGCATAAAGTCATGTAAATGTCATAGTACATTAACTCATAAAAAGTCCTGAAAACGTCATAGTATAGTAAGGTATAAAAAGTCAGTCATTTTGAGGTTCTATGACGTTTTTTCTTATTTCATATACTGTGAAAATATATGACTTATATTCTTACAAAGCTTTTGATAAAAAGCAGCAAAACTACTACAAAGTCTGTGTTTGTGTGTGTTGTCACATGGTTGCAGTCTTCCTGCTGGTTCTCAGATCTCACATTCAGCTTCTTTTTAAATTCCCCCAGCTGCATGCTGCTCCTACCCACAATCCTCTGGTGCATGATGGGACAGGGAAGACGTTGCCTCAAGACTCATTTAAATGTCAGATTGTTTTTTTAGCGTCTCTTCAGTTTAAAGTATCATCTTGCTGTTTCAATCATCAGCTGATCGTCTACACTGGAGCTCAAACAATAGATATATTCTTATAGTGATTATTGATTTGTTTTGATGACAAACTTAAATCCTGTGTACACAAAGTTTTTGTGAAATTTAAGTGACGCAGAAACAAACTCAATTTTGGAAATTGGAAAGGTCTTTAGTTTTGATTCTATTTAATTAATAGAGGAAGTCACACAGCTGTTAACAGCCGTGGATCAAACAGGTCACACAAGCATTAGATATCACATATCAATAACTGATACTATAAACAGACCGTGGTATTGATCAGTACCTGACCCAGGTTAATTCATTTTCACTGTGTCTCTGAGAGGAAATTAGTTCATAATAAACTGGTTTAAACAGAGTCAAAGTGCTGGTAAATTAAACATCTGAAATAAGAACAAATTGGAAACAAGTTTTTAAAATTCTTGAAATGAGTATGTCAGATGGTTTTCAAAATAATATATAAACCCAGTTCTTTAAATATGATCATGTTACTTTTATTTCCTCATTTAAAAATCAGATAATCTGAACCTTCAGTCTGCTGCCGCCCCCTGCTGGACACAGACTGAACTACACCCACAACAGGAAGTCACATCTTCTCTCTGTAGACTCACTTATTCTGCTCAGTTTTGTTATTTCATGTTAATCTGATAAAATTGTTTTATTTATAAAACAAAAAAAATCTTCAAATCACCTGACCCGACTCAGCAGCTTTAACTTCTGCTTCATTTCAGTCTTTATACTTTCAAAATCCACATTCAGCACAAATGGACAAAAAGGATTTTAAGACTAAAAAGTTAATTTCAAACTTAAAAAGCTTCAGAGAATTTCAGAGAAAATACAGGTAAGTTTCATGTGCTGATGTCTGATCGCCACATCATAAAGATCATTAACCCTCTGACAGTCATCAGGTCGTTAAAGGGTTAAAATGAAAACTGATCCAGAGAAACTTCGTCCTCTTTCTGGAAGTGATCATTAAATTAAAATAAAAATGATGAGTCTGTTTAAGACTGAAACATGTTGAGAAATTAACCAGAACAAAAACAGATTTCACTTATCGACTGTTGTTAAGTCGCCGACTCAGAAACTGGAACCAGATGTTTGAACTGGAGAAACAGCTGAAAATATACTGTTAAACTTGTTGATCATTAGGTGTATTGATGAATTATTGATTAATTATCAGAGATCAGTGAACAGAGACTCGGAGCTTGTCTTTGACTTTAATCTTTTTATTGGGTAGAAATCTTCCTGTGGTCTACAGACGGCGACCGCGGCGTCCGCCCTTCCTCCTGGTCGAGTCTGATGGGATCGGAGTGACGTCCTCTGAACAAACACATGAAGAAGAAACGGGAGGTCAAAGGTCAGTGTAAAGGCTTGGTTCACTAATATAAACAACTGTTCCATCTCTGTGTGTGTGTGTGTGTCTGTGTGTGTGTCTGTGTGTGTGTCTGTGTGTCTGTCTGTGTCTGTGTGTGTGTCTGTCTGTGTGTGTCTGTCTGTGTGTGTGTCTGTCTGTGTGTGTGTCTGTCTGTGTGTGTGTGTGTGTGTGTCTGTGTGTGTGTCTGTGTCTGTGTGTGTGTGTGTCTGTCTGTCTGTGTGTGTGTCTGTCTGTCTGTGTGTGTGTCTGTCTGTGTGTGTGTGTGTGTGTCTGTGTGTGTGTCTGTGTGTGTGTATGTGTGTGTGTGTGTGTGTTACCGATGCGTCCGATCTTCATGCCTGATCGAGCCAGAGCTCTGAGAGCAGACTGAGCTCCAGGTCCTGGAGTCTTCGTCCTGAAACAGAGTTTTACTCGTTACTCCGACGACGAGCGGCAGGTGAGACACAGATCAAGGTTTGTGACTTTTACATCATGTTTTGTGCCATTGACACCGATCATCAATGAAAGATCAGCTGATACTGATCACGTTTGTAACACATTCTATCAGTCTCTCTCTCATGGTCAACATGTTTTGTTTTGGCGGCCTGACAGGGGGCGGGGCTACAGCACACAGCTCACAGGTGATCGATGACTACAAGCTTTAATTCACATCTTCACGTTAATGAAAACCAGTCGACCAATCGAGGCGTCCCTAGAATTAACAGCTGTTCAGACAGGTGAGGGTCAGACAGACAGGTGAGTTTACCTGTTTCCTCCGGTGGCCCTCAGTTTGATGTGCAGTGCTGTGATTCCCAGCTCTTTGCAGCGCTGAGCAACGTCCTGAGCGGCCAACATGGCGGCGTACGGAGATGACTCGTCTCTGTCGGCCTTCACCTTCATCCCACCTGTCACACGACAGATCGTCTCCCTGGAAACACAGGTGAGAGCGATCAGAGCAGGTAGACAGGTGACATTTAAACAGATCATGTTTCATATAGAAACATCTGAGAGCAGGTTTATTGATCAGACATGAGCCGATCAGATCAATCACTTTATCAAATTGAAGTGATGGTGTGTATCTTCTTCTCTTTCTTAAAATAAACTGATCCATTAATAATTTGATTTTTCTAAAATTAATTAACAACTTTAAACATTTTATCTCCTTCAATCTGAAGGAAGAGGTTTAATTATTTTAATGTTTCATCTTCACTCAAAGATCCAGTTTGGAGTCAACAGGAAACATGTCGCTTAACAAAATAAAAGTCTCCATGTGAAATCCCTCTGACATGGAACAGGACTGATAAATATTTAATCAATAACCTGCTGATAAAAAACCTAGTAGCTTAACTGATTAATTCTGTATCACCACAAAGGTTTGATTTTATTTTTTTATTTATTTTTACAGTTTAATAATTCTGTTGTAGAAAATCAATTTGTGATGAACACCTTCAGTTTAAGATCTGAAGCACTGAATGAAAATATCAAGCTGATTGTCAAAATAAAAGTCAGTCCTCCATTAAACCTGATCAATTCACACAGTTATTGATTATCAACTCGTCTATTAAACATCACATCTTCAACTTTACACACTGAAACTTTG